TCTTCTTTCGTCTCTCTTCTCTCTCTCTCTCTCTCTCTCTCTCTCTCTCTCTCTCTTCTCTCTCTCTCTCTCTCTTCCTTCTTTTTCTTCTCTCTCTTCTCTCTCTCTCTCTCTTTTTCCTCTCTCTTCTCTCTCTCTCTGCTGCTCTCTCTCTCTCTCTCGTCTCTCTCTCTCTCTCCTCTTCTCTCTCTCTCTCTCTCTCTCTCTCTCTCTCTCTCTCTCTCTCTCTCTCTCTCTCTCTCTCTCTCTCTCTCTCTCTCTCTCTCTCTCTCTCCTCTCTCCTCCTCCTCCTCCTCCTCTCCCCCTCCTCTCCTCTCCCTCCCTCCCCTTCCGCCCCCCTCTCATTCAGATATTTAAACCATCACCATTAGTATAATTTTTTATATACTGTCGTTTCGCCTCTTATCAAGCATTCTCTCCCACTCTCTCCATCAGGCACCGGTAAATACGCTCATGATTCCGTAACCAATCATACTTCGTCATCATAATCAAACGGCGAGTCACCATTACGAGAAAGTATGATCGTTTTATTACTCCTTTTCCCCCCTCCCCCCCCTCATCGTCCTCCCACTTCCTTCATTCTTTCTTCGTTTCCTTTTCTTTTCGTTCTCTCCGTTTTCTTCCTTCCACCTTTTTGGCAGTTATCCTCTTTTCTTTATTCTGCCCCCCCTCTATCCATTTTTGTATCCCCCTCGTTATTATTTGCGCTACGTTTCTCCATCTCTCTCACCTTTTTCTTCCCCTCATACTCTCTCCCTCTCTCTCCACCATTATTTTCTCCCGTTCGCGATCCCAAACCTTTCCCCCTTCCCCCTTCACCATAGCGCGTTCTCCCTCTCTCTCTCTCCTTCCTCTATCCTTCCCCTCCTTCCCCCGTCCCTCTAATCCCCATCGCACCAACCTTCCCCTCACCTCAACTCAATTTTCCTTCTCTCTCTCGTCTTCTCTCTCTCTCTCTCTCTCTTCTCTCTCTTTCCTATTATTCTCTTCCCTTTCCCATTCACATCGCAGCCCCCCTTTCATCTTCTTCAGCGTACTTCCCCCCCCCCCCCCTGTCCTCTTTTCCCCATTACTCTTCCCCTCTCTTCTTCCCTTTTCATCGCCATCACAGCCTCTAATCTCCCTCCTCTCTCCCCCATTATTCTCCATTTCTCTCTCCCCTTCCTCCCCCAATTACTCGCCTCTTCTCACCCATTTTAGACTTCCCCCTCCCCTCTTCCTTCTCCTCCATCGCATCTCCCATCTCCCTCCTCCCCCCCTTATACCCCCTTTCCCCCTTCCTCCCCCTTCCCCCATCGCTACGCCCCTGGACCCATCCTTCTCATGCATCCCCCCCTCCTCCCTCCCCCTCCTCCGTCTCCATGGCCCGACCCATTCTTCTTCTCAGCACCCCCTCCTCTCTTGATCCCCTTCTCTCCCCCCTTCCCCCTTCCCCCACTTGCGTTCGACGCCCCGACCCATTCTTTCTCAGCGCACCCGCCCTCCCCTCTTCCCCATTCGCAAACGGCTTCCGACCCATCTTCTCAGCAATCCCCCCGCTCCCTCTCCTTCCCCCCTCTTCTCCCCCACTTCCTCCGCCCCCATGGCCCGAGCTCGAGTCTCCCACATTAGCATGGGGGCAACAAAGAGTTAGGGTCTGGCTGTTCCCACTCGTCACGTCTTAATCACCACGATACTCGCCCATCACTCATCTCTTCATCTCTTCTTCGTCTCTTCTCCTCCTCCTCCTCTTCTTCTCTCCTCCTCTTCTCTCTCTTCTCTTCTTCTCGTGCTGCTTCTGCTGTCATCTTCTTTTATTTTTCATATTGTTTTCTCTTCTTTTCATTTTTCTTCTCTTCTTCGCGTACTTCGGCTTTCGTCTTCTTTCTCCTACTCTCCTCTTTTTTCTTCTACTTTTCCCTTAGTCTTCTTCTTTCCCCTCCTCCTTCTATTTCTCTATTTTTCTTCATCGTCTTCATCATCTCCTTCTCCAGCTTCTTGTTTCTTCTTATGATTTTTTTCCTGTTTGTTATTTATTGTTTTTCCTTTTCGTTCATCATTCATTTCTTTATTCATTCTTGTCGTCTTCCTCTCTTCGTATGTTACTTACTGTACTATTTTTTCTCTTTTTATTCTTCTTCTGACTTATCTGGCCATCACTTCTCTCCTTGTTTTCTACTTTTCGCTCCGAGTTGTTATTCCTTTGTTGCTTTGTCTTATCTTCCTTCTTCATCTCTTCCTGTTCTTCTTAAACTTTCTCTCCTTTCTTGTTTTTATTTATTTATTTATTTTTCATCTTACTTATCACTCCTCTCAAGGCATCTTTATTCTACTTGTCTTAATTTTTGTTATATTTCTTTCTTTCTTTCTTTTCTTTCTTCTTATGCTCCTTCTCCCTCTTCTCCTTTTCTTTCCCTACTTCCTATTTTCTTTCTTTTATTTTCTTCACTTTATTCCATATCTCCTTCTCCTCCTCCTCCTTTTCCCCCACCTTCATCATCATCATATTTTTCTTCTTATCTTCCTTCCACTTTTTCTTTCCTGTGCTTTATGCGTCCGTTTCTTGAAAATGATCTTCGGATTTTTGTTCTCGTATCACTCGAGAGGTTCTTTGTGGAAATTGGTCTTTTTGGGATCGTTTTCGGTTTTATATTAATTGTGGTTAAAAAAAATGTGTTTTCGATATTAATTTTTTTATTATTATTGTTGTTGATCATGATCTTGTTATTGTTATTGTTTTATTATTGTTGTTATCTTTGTTATTGTTATTATTATTATTATTATTATTATTATTATTATTATTATTATGTCATTATTATTGCCATTATTGTTCTTGTTTTATTATTGTTGTTATCTTTGTTATTGTTATCATTCATTATATTATTATTATTATTATTATTATTATTATATTATTAATCATTATTATCCATTATTGTTCTTGTTGTTGTTATTTATATTGAATATGTTGTGTGTATTTTGTAGTAATTAGAGCAGTGGTATGGTAGTAGAATATATAATTTTTTAGTTATTCATTGTTGTAGCAATTAGTGTTAATATTATTGTTACTAGTACTACTACCATTTTCGCTAATATATTCCTCCCATTATATTTGTCGTTTTTACTCCTTTTGTAAATATCATTAATGGCAGTGTTCTGGCTGGTAACACTTTAATTGTTTAGATCGCTATCACCCTTATCATTATTATTATTATTCTCATTTGCCATCATCGAGAGAGAGAGAGAGAGAGAGAGAGAGAGAGAGAGAGAAGAGAAAAATGACGGACAAAACGCACTCAGTTTCCAGCATCCGAAACCGTGCAATTAATATTCATCGCGGAAAATGTTCGGTTCGTGTGAAGAGGCTTCCTTTGCATACGATTATCGGCCGCTGCTCTGGCCTCCTTTTATCACTCTTCCTCGAAGGCGTCGCGGCCCAAAAGTGGACAGTTCTTGCAGGTTGAATAATTGCACCATCATCGGCGCTGAGGTAATTTGAATACTGATTAGCCGGCCAGATAGCAGGGCTAATGAGGGCTCCTGCTGCGGACTCGGAGACGGGCCTCGTGTATATATATATATATATATATATATATATATATATATATATATATATATATATATATATATATATATATATGTATATATATTTATATTTATATATATATTATATATATATGTATATATATTTATATGAATGTATGTATGTATATTCATATATATATATATATATATATATATATGTATATATATATATATATATATATATATATATATATATATATATATATATATATATATATATATATGTGTGTGTGTGTGTGTGTGTGTGTGTGTGTGTGTGTGTGTGTGTATAAAGGTCATTTCATTGTCGCTCTTATTATTGTTGACGTCTAGTTGTTGTTACTCTTATTTTACGAGAGAGAGAGAGAAGAGAGGGAGGAGAGAGAGAGGGAGAGAGAGAGAGAGAGAGAGAGAGAGAGAGAGAGAGACAGAGAGAGAGAGAGAGAGAGAGAGAGAGACGAAGTCCTCGCGTGACCTTGCAACGAATTCTCGAAGTGGCGTTTCTTTTGAAGTTCCTGATGGATGGCGTTCTTTCAGGAGGTCAAGGGAGGGCGCAAGAGTGTGGTGATTGCGGGCGAGGTTTGGTGGTGTTTTTAGCCCGGTCTTTGGCGTTATGGTGATGAATTTGATGGTGTCGTGTTATAAAGTGTGATTTCTTTCTAAGTAGATATACAGTGTAGTTGTAGAGGTAGAGTGAGTTAGAGGAAATTTCGTCTTATAACACGCAGATTATACTTTTTTTTTTTTTTTTTCTTTCTTTCTTTTTTTTTTGGAATACCTGTCTACTAATTTCACAATCAGGTACGAAAAGGCAGCTTGATAGATTTATGATTTAAGAAAGCTGATGTTCGGGTATGATCAATGAAAAAACAACAATAAAACAACAAAAAACACTAACAGGAAAATGGATATAATTGCAATGATGCTGTAAAGGAAGAAGACGGAGAAAGCAGGAAACGGAAGAGAGAAAGGGGTGAGAGAAGATGAAGAAAAGATTGTGAAACAACCCTACATCAAAAACAGCGTGTAACCTCTCATAAAGAAAATAACAGTGATAAATAATGATACTTCTACTACAACAATTACAACTGCTACTACTACTTCATAGATTATAGCATTAGTAATAATGATAGTAATAATGATGCTATAGATAATTAAGATAATAGTAATATTGATAATGATGATAATAGTAATGATTATAATAATAAGGGTGATAGTATTGATAATAATGATAATGATAGATATAATAATGATGATAATGATGATGAAAGTAATGATAATGATGATAGTAATGATAATGATGATGATAGTTATAATAATGATGATGATAATAACAATGATGGTAGTTATGATAATGATAAATAACAATAGATATTAAGATAGATCAATAAACCCAAAAATAACACAAAAGATGAGCCACATTCCCCCCATACATCTCTCTTCCCCCGACCCATCCACACCTCTCCCAACCGTGCCAGCTTTGACGTCCTTCATTTGCATAGGACGCAGCACTTTCGCTCTCTCCCTTAAGGAACCGTGACGGGGGAATATAGTGCTTGGTTCTGGCTGGTTTGGCCGCGTGTTTCGGGGGCGATGGGGGAGGTGGTGGTGGTGGTGTGTTGGTGGAGGAAATGGTGTTGGGAGTCTGGTGTTGGTGGAATTGGTGCTTGGAGCGGAGGTGGTGTAGTGGTGTTGGTGGAAGTGTTGCTTGGGAACGGTGGTGGTTGTATTGGTAGCATGGAAGTGGTTGTGGTAATGGTGTTGGAAGTTCGGTAGTGGTGGTAGAAAATGGTATTGGTAGGTTTAGTAGTGGAGGAAATGTTGCTGGGAGCGGTGGTGGTTGTATTGGTAGCCAACGAGTGGTGGTAATGGTGTTGGTAGTCTGGTAATGGTGGAATTGTTGCTGCTGGTTGTATTGGTAGCATGGTAGTGATGGTGGTAATCGGTGTTGGTAGTTTGGTAGTGGTGGTGGTCTATCGTTATGATGTTGGTAGTTTGATAACAGTGGAAAACTTGTTGGAATTGGTAGTAAAGGTGTCGGTAGTTTGGCAGTTATAGTAATGATACTCGAGGCGGCAGTAATAGCGTTGGTACCTGGTAATGATGGCAAAAATTCTTGGTCCCCTTGGTAGTGGTAACAGTGGTGCTGGAAACTTGGCATTGGTGGCAGTGTTAAAGAAGCGAAAAATAACATGCATTTGAATTTAATTTTGACGAGATATCATCCCTGTAAAACTACACAACGCGCCTCAAAGATTAACCAGAAGTATCAGTTATGTTGGAACTATTTTTTTTTAAGTATATAAGTTACACAATAAAAATGTAATGAACCTTTTAAAATAAGATGTGCTTTTTTATCTTAGGTCTCGTTTATTAACATTATGATAATCTCTCTACAGTCCAGTGGTGATCTTATCTGTAATAAACTTGATAAATAAAAATTCTCTCGATGTAATTAAGGAGCATTTTATAAACGCTTCGGCCACAATATAAATATTTGCGGGTGAAGACCTAATTAAAACGCGGGCGAATGTAAAGAAGAAGGAGGAAGAGGATAGAAGAAGGGAGAGAGAGAGAGAGAGAAAGGGGGAATTTGAGAGTGCGAGAGGGAGGGGGAAGAGAAAAGAGAGGGAAAGGGGGGTGGAAGGGAAAGAGAAGGGAGAGGAGGATGAGAAAAGAGATCAGACAAAAAAGAGAAAGAAAGAAGGAATGAATTAATTAAAGGAGAGAAGAAGGAAAGAGAGAGAGAGAGAGAGACAAAAAGAGAAAGACAGAGGGGAGGAGATAACGGACGTAACAAGCAATCCGCGGCTGCTTTCATACCTCTCCCGCCAACTCCATAACTCGCATTAACGCTGACATAACGACCATCGCTGCGCCGGCCATGCAGTGCATGCCTGAGCACCGCCGCTTGTGAGGAGGCGGGACGCGGAGTCGGATCACGTGACCCGTGACTAATGGATTTATATCGGGAGGGGTTGGGGTGGGGGGTGGGGGTGGGGGTAGGAGTGAAGTGATGGAGGGGGAGGGCGGTAGGGGGTGAGGAGAGAGAGAGGTGAAGAGAAAGAGAACAAGGAAAGGAGGGTGAGAATGAGAAATAGGTGAGAGAGAGAGTGGAGAGAGAGAAGAGAGAGAGAGAGAGAGAGCGAGAGAGAGAGAGAGAGAGAGAGAGAGAGAGAGAGAGAGAGAGAGAGAAGAGAGAGAGAGAGAGAGGAGAGAGGGAAGAGATGATGCAAAATTAAAGAAACAGGTAGATGTACCGAAAAACACTGAACGGATAACGATCTCTGTATAACCCAGACGAACACAAGTCACGCGATGGTGTCGAAAAACAATACTGTTTACTCCCCATCTCTCTCTCTCTCTCTCTCTCTCTCTCTCTCTCTCTCTCTCTCTCTCTCTCTCTCTCTCTCTCTCTCTCTCTCTCTCTCTCTCCTCTCTCTCTCTCTCTCTCCTCTCTCTCTCCTCTCTCTCCCTCTCTCTCTCTCTCTCCTCCCTCTCTCTCTCTCCCTCCCTCTCACTCACTCTCTCTCCCTCCTCTCCCTCTCTCTTCTTCTCCCTCCCTCCCTCCTTCTCCCTCCCTCTCTTCTCCTTCTCCTTCCCTCCCTCTCTTTCTCCCTCTCCTTCTTCTCCCTCCTCTTCTCCTCCCTCTCCCACTCCCACTTTCTCTCCCTCTCCCTCCCACCAATTCCTACAAATTTCCTTCACATTCCGTGCGAATACATTGTAAACTCACTTACGGTTAGTAGCCTATCTCCCAGCATCGTCTGAGCTTTGAAACAAGGCTTTGGATAAGCTAAGGCAGGGAGGGAAAGGTAAGAGGGAGGGGAGGTGGGGGGTATGGATAGGGGAGGGGAGGTGAGGGAGGAAGGCATGAAATTGGGGAGAGGAGGAGGTGGAGGTGGAAGGCATGCAAAGGGAGAGAGAGAGGGCGAGAGAGAAGAGGAAGGGGAAGGAGGGGTGAAAGGGAGGGTCAAGTATAAAAAAGAAAGGTAAAGGAAAGAGAAGAAGAGAGAGGGAGAAGACATAAAAAGAGGATGGGAAAGAGAGAGAGGAGGAAGACACGAGGAGAAAGAAAATCGAAGCAAGGGGAAGGGGGAGGATGACTCGAAAGTAAGGGACGAAAGAGATGAAGATGGAGAGATGGCGAGAGAGGGAGAGAGAGAGAGAGAGCCCAAACCACAGCGCAGATAAGAGAATGAACCGTAATACCCGACTCATTAGGGCTTTAGGAGCTCGCCCGAAGGAGGAGGGGGAGCCGAAGGACCCGATAAGCCGGAGGACAAGCTTCGCCGCGAGATGGTATCGGGGCTGTGTTGACACGCCGCTCGTAAAGGCCGCCGGGTCGTCTCTTGTTTCCCACTCGTCTCTAATTGTTATTTAGTGTTTATTCGTTATGATTGTTGTTATTATTCGTTTTTTTGTTGTTTTTATGCGGTGGGAAGGTCTCCCGGAGGGTTGGTGATCGAGAGAGGAGACGAAAGGGAACGCGAGATGGTATCGTCGGCGCGTTGACAAGAGGATCGTAAATTTTTATCGCATCTCTTTTGTTTTGTTTTCTGTTTTTTTGTTTTTGATTCGAGTTTTTATTTGTTATTGTTAGTGGTGGCTTGGTTTTGAATGATCTGAATAATGTTCGTTGATTAGATGGATGGTTTTGATAGCTTTGTTATTGCAATTTTAGTATTTGTGTTTGGTTTAGTTTATGTATATTGATAAATATATATATATCCTCTTGATTAACTACATTCATGATATTTCAAATGATAATTTCAGTTTTATTAGGAATCTCAAACCGAAACCAACCCACAAATCTAAAAAAAAAACGAACAACAAAGAGAGAGAGAGAGAGAGAGAGAGAGAGAGAGAGAGAGAGAGAGAGAGAGAGAGAGAGAGAGAGAGAGAGAGAGAGAGAGAGAGAGAGAGAGAGAAAACGATAATAACAGAATAAACGCAAATAAAAACCTTCAAGAAAATCCGGCCCTGCGAGCCTCCTCGGTGTTCCTCGATTAGCAAAGGGCCGCGTCACCCTGGTCGCTCCGCCAAACAAGGGCACAGGCACCTCCGAGGCATTAACAAGGCGAACTTCTAAATTACCTCGTTCAGATAAGGTGGGGTTGGCTGGTCGGGCGTGGGGTGGGAGGGTGGGGGAGGGTGGGGGGGGGAGAGGGAAAGGGGGAAAGGGAGAGTGTGGGGCGTGGGGGAGGGGAAGTGGGAAGGGAAGGAGAGGGTGGGAGAAAGGGGGAAATGGGGGATGGTGGGTGGGGGAGGGAAGGGGGTTGGGGGAGGGTGGTGTGGGGGGGAGGGTGGTGGGGGGGGGGTAAGGTGCTGCGAATGGGGTGACGGGGGGGGTTGTCTCTGCTTTGGCCCCTTTTTTCTGCGTTTGTTGTCCTTGCTTGGTGTTGTTTTTTCGTTTTGTTTGCTTGTTTCTATGCTTGATGGTGGTTTTGTTTTGTTTTGTTTGCTTGGCGATTTTTTTTTTTTGTGTGGGGTTTGGTTTGTTATAGTCCTCCTTTTTTCTTGAGATGTTTTATTTGCTCTCAACTGTTTTTTTTTTCTCCTTTTCCTTCTTTTCTTTGTCCTACACCTTTTCCTTCCTCCTTTTTGTTTTTTTTATTATTATTATCCTCCACCTCGCCTTTCTCGTCCTCCTTCCTCCTCTTTTTGTTATTTGTTATTATATTATTGTTATTTATTATATCATCATCATCATCAATATCCTCCACCTCCCCCCCCCCTCCCCGTCTTCCTCCTGATAACGATAATGATAAGGGCGAAAATAGCTGCTAGGAGGTAGAAAAAATACCTTAATTATTTTTTATCTGATGATTTTCTTATTTATATCGAAACGATAGGAAAGTAAGACAAAAATAAGGGAAATATTAAACAACGGGAATAAGTCGATCGATTTTTTTAAATATAAATAACAGATAAGAAACTGAAATAGAAGGAGAATATGAAGGAGAAAAACAATAAGGGAAATAATAAACAACGGGAATAAGTCGATTTTTTTTTTATAAATAACAGATAAGAAACTGAAATAGAAGGAGAATATGGAAGAGAAAAAGAAGAACAGCAACGCTCCAGCCATAGTATCAAAAACGAGGACGGTAATATAATATAATAAACTATAATATATAATAAACGAGGATGATAATAAAAACATGATGATGATAATGATGATGAACAACAGAATAAAAAAACAAACACTCAAAGGGAAAAATAGTTCCGCTGTGCCATTTATCCGGCCTGGACACTTCATCGGAAACGAGGACGAGGAAGGCGAGGAGGTAGAGGATAATGATAATAAAAAGAAGAGGAGGAAGGAAGGAAAAGAAGGGATATAAGAAAGAAACGGGAATAACAGCGACGACAGTGGGTTTGACAAGACCAACACAACTTAAAGGAGTTGAGCAAATAGTGAGTAAAACTTTTGGCTTCGCAATTTTCTCTGCTTCGGCCACGGGATCGGATAAGAAAAAGAAAGGAAGGGGAAGAAGACGAAGGAGATGAAGAAGGCAACGATGATTCAGAAGAATAAGAGGAACGAGACTAACACAACTTTGAAAGAAAGCAAAAAGTTGCCATCGCTTGGCCAATTCCCCGCTCTGACCAGGGTATAAAAAACAAAGAAGTAGAGAAGAAAGAAGAAAAAACAGAAGAGGAAAACAATTTAAAAATTGGAAAAGAAAAGAAAAACTGAAAAAGAAGTAGATAAAGAATAAAATAGAAGGAGAGAAAAATAACACGAATTAGAAAAAGGAAAAAAATAGTCCACGTTGCCTTCGGGCCGCCTTTTGCACGCGTTAAAGAAAACGCAGGGACAGATAAATAATGGCAAGAAGACGAAGAATAGACAAAAAGAACAGCAAAAAACGCTTTAAAAAAGAGGGGAAAGACGGATAAATGAGAGGTAAACGAAGAAAAACCAAGAGGAACACAACACGACTTAGAAAAAGAGAGGACAAATAATCCTCGTTGCCTTCGCCTCGCCATTTCATCGAGCTGACCAAGGTACCAAAGAAGAAGGAGAAGGAGACGAAGAAAAGAAGACGAAGAAGTAAAAACGAAGAAAAAGAAGACGAAGAAGAAGAAAAAGAAGACAAAGAAAAAGACGAGGGATAAAGAAAGAGGACAGCGCGCCGCCCTCGCCTCGCCACT